GTGGCAGTGGCCGTGGCAGTGGCAGCGGCAGTGGCAGCGGGAGGAGGAGGAGGAGTAGAAGTAGCAGTAGCAGTAGTTCTCGTAGTAGTCTCAGTAGCAGTAGCAGCAGCCGCAGCAAGAGTAGGAATTCGAGTAGGGGTGGGAGTAGGAGTAGCAGTAGCAGTAGCAGTAGCACTAGTAGCACTACTAGTAGTAGTAGTAGTAGTAGTTGTAGTTGTAATTGTAGTAGTAGTAGTAGTAGTAGCAGCCATCTTTTGGCTGCAGGTGCATCCCGTTCCGCAAATACACAGGTTGCATCGGTCCCACACCCAGCGAGGTAAGCACGGCAAAACGTGTCGGAGTTGATTTTCGGCTGCCACAGGATGCCGTGAAGGTTCTGGCCTCGAGGTTGAAGGCATTTGGGGTAGACTTACTTAGTACAGTGTTCATGCAGGGACTGTACAAGGCCAGTGATCAGGCTTCAAGCTCTTTCGTGTCCCTGCGTGACAAGAACCTTTGCGAATGCCAGATGCCTGAGGCCGAACTCCGCAGGCTAAGGAGTTCAAGATGACCCAGGCATGTTCTTGATTCCTTAACACTTCTTGCTGTCGGGGATCAACATTGACAGTGAACCACCTCGGCACGCAACTCCTGGGTTGAAGGTGGAAGCCAGCCCGCAAAGCCAGTGGTTAAAGCATTAAAGCAGCACTGCATGACCCCAACCACGCATGTTACTGCCAGGGCCGCTGGCCGGTCAAGTCGGCCAAGATCGTTCTAGGGCTGCTCAGGCGTGCGGTCACACGGTCTGGAGTTGGGGTGTGCATTGTTTCCCATATTGGGGTATGATGTGACATACGTGCTCAGAGCTCAAGTTGTTCTTTTACGGCCTGCGCAGTTGTCATGGCGGGAATTTGACCTTTGGAGAACTGTTCGATTGTACACGGTGATGCCGGAAGAGCTGAGGTCTGATTAACACAAGTCTCCCTAGGCCCTAGAGGATCTTACATGCCAGAAACCCATAGGCAACACATTTTTCTCAGTGGCTTCGTAGAAATCCATGCGAATCAGGCACCGGATCCCCGACGAATGTTTCAGCCCAGCTCTGCTTTGCAGGAATGCCGAGGCCAACGCGGAGTTCAAGAACTTGGAGACCGAGAAGTTGGTTGTCGAGCATGTGCAGGCAAGGCAGCAACATGCAGCACATGCAGCGCTGCAAGGCCTCAGGCCAGAGAGGATGCTGCGATTCTGCAGCCGAATCGACAAGCACAGCCAGCAACATACATGGTACGTTCGGTGGCAGTGGTTTTGTGGGGTGCTTTTGTGTTCCAGAGCCGGGCATGTTGAGTGTTTGACCTTAAGCGGGGTCTCCGGAATACTGCATATACCCCCCCCCCCCCGGCAGCGGATTTGTATTCCGAAAGCACTTAGCGACGCCCTTCACTCAGCTGCCGTCTGAAGCTCGAAGCTGTGAAAGGTGAACGCTGCGCAGCAGGGCCGCCGACGAACCTACCGAGCTCACGGCCGCATCGGCCCATACATGTCCGGGGACTTGGGAACCGACATCTGAGAGCATAGGGGGTCAATGTAGAAGACCCGTGAGTCTTTGCGGAAGTTCTGCCCAGGAACTGCCCGTGCCACGTGGAGCTCATCCTCTCAGAGCCCCTCGATGGTGTGGAGAAGGCAGACGAGGCAGGGACGCAGTGCTTGCCGTGAGGTTCACGGGCTTCGTGTCCGCATCAGCTTCACAGTGCCATCCTCCTCCTAGACGACAGCTGATGCTTGCTTGGAGACATGATGCTCAGGAGGTCAAGCCGAAGAAGTTCACCAGAAAGCAGTTCGCCAAGCTCCGCTTGAAGGCACAAATCAAGACGGATTGTTGGCTGCTGTCGATGCCGAGTTCGACTTCCATCCTAATATTGTGCCTCTCGTGACGCCGAAACTCGTTCTCAAGCCGGCATAGAGTGGGTGATTCGCTAGACAGCCTAGACGCATTAAACAGGATATGTCCTAAGCTCAAGCCTGAAGAGCTTGGGAGCAGACCACGCTGCGAGGTAGGTGGCGACCAGTGAGAGGTCAGAGTTCCTGCCAGAGCTTCAATCACGGCGCGGTGAAAGCAGTTTTGTTTGCGAAGGGGTGCTGGGAGCATGCAGGTGCACAGCATGGCTGGTGCAGTTTGGTCTGGTGGCATATGGTTAGGAGTTAGGAGGTTCATCCGCTGAACTTCTCTAAGTAGCCTTGATTCAACAGCAGGAGGCATGGACACACTGGACCGTATGCTCCGGCGGTCTCTGGCGGTGCACTTCCGGCTCGAACTCTAACTGTTGCATTGTACAGGGATCCAGAGAAACCGCGCCGCCTTTGGCTCAGGGCCACTCGGACGGATTTGCCAGGTGATGGGAAGTGCAGGAATCTAGCATCAATTTGCGTGTTTTACCGCCCGATGTGCACTTACCTCTCGAACAAGGGTGTGCTTCACAGCAACGATGTCAGACCTGTGGTTGAGATGCGGTAGTACATGTTTATGGCTCTTAGGTGCGCAGGCTACCGTGCTACGTCCACTCGTCCTCTGGCATATCGGTGAAAGCTCAGTGAATTTCAGTGTTCTGGATCTGGGCCTCTGTCGGTGTACTCCGCTCGCAGGGCCTCGGAGCCCGGTGTTGTCTGTGCCAGGTGAAGAGGACCAGCCATGACCATCAAATACTCCAGGGAGTCGAAGAACCCCTCGAAGGCAGCTGCCGTGCAACAGTCGTGCCCTGGTGCCCCGTCTCTCTGGAAGTCTTTTGCTGCAATGCCTTTGCCCCTTTTGCACTCGCCAGGCCTGCAAAGCGCAGGGTGTCGACCTCCGAGTGACACTCGGCTGCAGCCTTTGATTGTCCCCTGCCCCTGAACATCGCATCGACAGTTCTCTCGAAGAGGTTTCTGCACCAAGAATCTCCAATGTCAGCCCCTAGCGCTCCAAGCTTCTCTGGACAGGATGCTTTATAGGACCAGGAGAGCAAAGGAGGCGAACTGACGGGTGGACGTCCGGGTTTCTCGCTCATTGCAGGCACTACAAGAACACCTACGAGACTGCACAGGCAGGGACATGGAAGAGAGGTCGGCAGGGTCCGGTACGGTGCACTGAGATTCTCCCTGAGGGTGGGATCTCTGGGCCGGTCTTTCAGTCGGAGCTCCCTCCCCAGGCCAAGCCTCGCTTTTCGCAGAGGCGATCAAGGGCATGACGCTGACGAACGCCAAGCAGTACCTCACAGACGTCTGTGAGAAGAAGAGGCACGGGTCCCGTTTGCCGCCTTTCGCGTTTCCGACGGCTCCTGAGGTGCATCCCGTTCCGAAAGTACACTGGATGTATTGGCCACCTGGCGAGTAGCGAGTTGGGAGCGGAAGTGCAGCCGTGAGATTCGTATCTTGAGAACATGACATGTCAGTGGTATCCTGCCCTCCAAACCGTTGGACTGCACCTTAGCCGACAGCATGAGGCCGAACTCCACAGGCCAAGGAGTTCAAGATGACTCAGGCAGCAACACCTTGATGTAGTCTTTGGCCAGATTTGAGCCGGATGAACGAGGTGCAGCATGTGGTCTTCTTTCACACTGCGGGCATTCTTGCACGATCTTGCACGAGCAGTGCAGGTAGTTCCACTGCCTACCATGTCACATGCCGGATCTTGCAATGAAGGGCTTCGCATCAGAACAGCACGGAGGCAGAGCTAAGCTTTCGTTGAACTTTCCGACTTGGCACAGGGCCGATGGCCGGTCAAGTCGGCCAAGATCGTCCTTGGGCTGCTTAGGCGAGGGTGGGGGACAAGTGGCCACAGAGCGGACTGGTACTGGAACTTCGCTTGACACCGCAGGAATGCCGAGGCAAATGCGGAGTTCAAGAACTTGGAGACGGAGAAATTGGTCGTGGAGCATGTCCAGGTCCTCACCAACAAGGGGTTGATGTTTAGACTTTGCATATCGTAACAGAATCTTGCGTGTTCTCGCTGGGGTTGAGGCGCAGCATGGGTTTGTGACCTTCAGATACAAACACGGCGAAGCAAGATACGGCCAAACAAAGTCATCCACACGGGATGCGGCTGAGAGATGCTGTGTCGATCGGGCTCAGCCAGGCTATCTCTCACCCCAGCAGATCCCGATGCTAACATATTGGCGATGCGGGCTCAGGCTTCATACTCCCCATTAGGGCAAGATACCGTTCTGTGACAAATTCTAGCTTCTAGATAACTACTGGTAAATCTTGGGACGACTGTGGCACCAGTTCAGGTGAACGCAGCGCAGCAGGGCCGCCGACGAACCTATCGCGCACACGGTCGTATCGGGCCGTACATGCACAGGGCCGAGCGCATTGAGTATGCAGCATGATGAATGCCTGGCAGGGAGTGATCGGCGCACTAGGGAGGGCTGGCACAGTTGAATTCGATCTGACACGTTAGATCACACTGAAGCTGCAACCAGAGTTTGCAATGCGCAATGCTATCACGTACGGGCTGCTTGCGCTAAGGAGTTGCCCGTGCCACGTGGAGCTGATCTTGTCTGAGCCTCTGGAAGGCGTGGAGAAGGCAGACGAGGCGACCTGTGTGCGTGGTGGCGTCACTGACATGACTGGTTTCGAAAATCCGCGATGAACGCAGCAGGTGCCTGTGCAGGTCTTGTTGAAGCGGCTAGCCCTAGCTAGGAAAGATGTGTTCCGTGACCTCAACCCCCTCGAGAAGCAGTGGCAACGGCAGCCTCCGGATGTTGTTCGAGGCTTGAGGCAGAAGGGCTGCCATCCCCAGACACGCGCAGAAGTCCTAAACTGAACTTCACTGTCCCAACATATCCCAATAGCCTGCCGTGCAAGGAGGTGAAGCCCAAGAAGTTCACACGAAAGCAGTTCGCGAAGCTCCGACTGAAGGCTACTGGTATGTCAGTCAATGTTGCCTTCCGTCGTGTCTCCCTTGGTGAGAACTGGATGTCGGCGTTGTGGGGCTGACGATGACAAGAGAGCTAAACAGCCTCGCTCGTTTCCAACACTTCGCCTTCATCCGTGCTCGTGGGCACACTTTGGCAATGCTGCAATCTTGAATGAGGGCATGAGGGCATGTTGCAGAATGCTTGAACAGAACTGTAAGTGTGAGCCATGTCCATGACCTCGACAGTGCAATCAGCTTGCAGTGAGGCATTCTGGCATTGGCCTTCAGTCTTCGCAGTCTCGGTGCTGGCAAGCCAAACCGTAGGCACACTGGAGAAGCGCGTCCGGCACCTCACAGTGGCCCCCCTGTGTGCAACAACCACGTATGCACTCGTGCGAGCCAGCCTTGCATCTGGGTCATCCAGCTCCCCCGAACTTCGTAGACCAGCAGGAACCAAGCTTCCGGCGTGGTCGTGCTTGGTTGTGAGACACATTCACTGACACAGGTGGGCGGCGACCAGTGAGATGGATCCCTGATTGAGCCTGGTACTGGGAAACGGCGCGGCAAAATGGGCAGGTTTTCAGGCCTCTGCAGCACATTGGCTCGACCTCGCTGACGAGCATGCTTCCTCTACAAGACTTCTTCACCTCTGTTTTGCCAGATCCCTGCAGAAAGTGGACTTCATGTTCTTGAGTCGCACGTTCGTGGTCGCGTGCGAAGCTGAAGACGTGGACCACAAAGTAAAACCGAGAAGCTTGCAGGATCCTGCTGCCAGCTTTGCTGAACTTCCCCTGCCCCGAGACGTCGGACCGCGCAGAGCCCAGATCAGAGATGCAGGGGCAGTGGCTCAAGAAGTCGTGCTTTTCTGCCCCTCCTTACTTGTGTTCACCAGCACCGAATTTAACAATCGTGTTGTGGACTCACATGCCCTCGATACCTACTCCATCGTCGACAAAGATCAGGGGATTCTGATCTGTGGATTCTCTTACATCTCTGATGTTGAATGAAGGGGTGCTCCATCATTGTTTTCTCGGCGTGTCCATTCGCAGGCACTCGCATCTCAAAGATCAGATGCTGCAAACGGCGAGGCCGCCGATTTGCCGCAGATGCTTGCCTTCTGTGTTGCAGCATAGCAAGCTAAGGACCAAGGGTTCGATGACAGACACTGTCCGGCGGATCTCGGATGTGAGGTCTTTTTTGTACCGAGTGAAGAGGGTATCGGAAAACAACGCGCGAAATCAGGAAGACAAGTTCGGAAACCAAGGAGGGCGATTTCGGAAAACAGGCGGACAGACTCACACAGCCAGAATCAGAAAACCGCACAGACGAAATCAGAAAACACAACAGAATCGGAAAACAAGAATCATAAAACAACACAAACAAACTCAGAAAACAGCAAAGAGAAAATCAGAAAAATGGGCGTAACCACCCCTCTGTTTTGCCCACAAACCGAGAGGTGAAGGAAGGCCGCGCTCCTTTCACCCCTCGGTTTTGGCCACAAACCGAGAGGTGAAGGAAGGCTGCGTTCCTTTCACTTCTGGTCTTGGCAATCCGAGCAATGCAGAGCGGCGCTTCTGTACAGAAGTGTGGTCTCCAACAACATGGGAATTCATTCACACGCGAGCTAGCCCGTCACGCCATTGCAGTGGCTCTTTTTGCCTTTCGTTTGTCCCGTTTTCTGAGTTTCGACCGCCCTGTTTTCTGATCTGGTCCGTCATGTTTTTTCATATTGTCCGTCCTTTTTCTGCTTTTCCTGTGTCCGTTTTTTGATTTCGGCATTGCGTTTTCCGGTCTGGTGTTTTCCGATGTCGTCCGATCCGTTTTCGAATAAGGGCCTGACATCGTCCGTACCATTCTTGTACCTAATGACCGCTGTGGGTTTGTGTGCTGCAGGCCTGAAGCCTAATCTGAATCGGGTTCGTTTCGGCTACACAGCCTGTCGAGTCTGCGGGTCTTACATTCTCAGCCGGGCCGAGTGTCAAGACCCTTGTGAGCCACGTCAGGGCGAAGAACTTGAAAATCCGGCCAGGAGGTTCGTGGCCCGGCGTAGTTTTGCATTTTAGTTGAGGATTCGAGGGTTCCTTTTTGCAGTGCCGGACTACGAAGTTGAGTCCTTCCAAAACTGACACTGTCACTTCACGAATCTTTCGATTGTTCGCCGAGGAAAGAGTTGATAGATTTAGAGACCTTGTTGCGTTCGAACAAGATACAGGCACTTCCGACAGGCCGGAAACACAGAAGGGGTCGATTCTTGGAGAAATTGAGGTTCCTCTCAATCGCCCGCTCAGAAGACTGAAGACATGACATATCTACTCCGACTCCGTGCTGCACTGTGCGTACCAGGTGATGTCGAGGGTGTTAATGCGCGCAAGCCTCAACATCGGTGCTGCCTTCATCGCAAGGTTGGCAAGATTGTTTTGAAGTATATCCAATGTGAGATCAATGGCTGAGCGCGTGATGCCCTACTTCCGTCAGGACACCTGACACCGGGCTTGCGAATCCTTACTGAAACCAGACTCACAGCAGGACACCATACAGTACAGCATAGTACAGCTGTGGTTTAACGAGAGCAGTGTTCGTGCAGAATCAGAAGCTATCCTGCAAGATCTGCACCATAGCCTAAAACTCTTCGGCAGAGTCCTGTGTATTTGTGTTGCCCGACCCAGGCTCCGGATTCTCAAGCTGAGCGGAGAGGAGTTCAGCAGCTCGACATGCGGAAGGATGGTCAGGTGTTCCCGCTCCCGGACCCGCGGAGTCTTTAGGCTACGGGGCACTGGATTGGACCATCCGTTGCCGGCGTCCTCTGTTGGTTCTCCGGGGGCTTCCGGCTCCCGACGAGGCTCGTACAACGTCCACGGGCTGCTCTCACACTCGCGATTGCCAGCACAACGCCTGAGCCCGAGATGTGAAGACGAGCGTTCTGCACACCGTTTTTGTTTCAGATAGGTACTCACATACGCATGCATGATGGCGGCGACAAGACCTGAATGATACAATCGGTGCGAAAATGGTCGAATGAAGCGATCTGTTCACGGGTCACGGCTTGCACACGGGTGTGTGCACGGTTTTATGGGTTTGGGTTGAGGTTGAGTTTGAGGTTCTGTTTCAGAGACTGTTTCTGTTAGACTGAGAGGGTTTCTTCTGTTCGAGAAGTTCTGATCCAAAGAGGATAGGCTTCGTTCGGCCTAGGTTGGCTTCTTTGGGGGTTTTTCAGGGGGCATGAATTAGTAGCGCTTGTTCAGGTTTTGGGGCCGTGTTTTGTGAACGGTTTGAGCGATTTTTTTGTGAGGGAAGAAGAAGACATCAGCAACTTGCTCCGAGACGTTAAGCCATTCAGCGGTCCAGCAGCGGTGGTATCCTAGAATCCTAGAAAGTGTGTGAAGCGAAGAGAAGCTTGTAGTGTTAAACACCGAGCGCTGCGCTCGGCCATGCTCGGCCGGCCAAGGCGTGGCGCACGCAGAGGCACGGGTTCTCTCTCTCGGTTTGCCGCTGGAGGTGCCAGGTCAGGGCTTTCTCGGAAGCCGAATTTTCTGGTCCCAGGCGGCTGCCATGTCTTGGCTGCGGGACAGCTGTGGAGTCCAGCTTGCAGAGTTGCAGAGGCGAGGAGGGGATGGGCAGGACGGGGCCACAGCAGGGGATGCAGGACACTGCAGACCACTTGATTTGCGAGGTTTGTGTTGACTGTAGACTTGAACCACAAGCCACGTAAGAATTCACAATTCGACAAGGCGGAGGCCCTAGGCGATTTATCGATGCCTAAACGCATTCCGGGGGGGGGGGGGGGGGGAGGCACCACACCATCACACGAGACTGCGACACACTTCGAATTTACACCATGCAGATTAGATGCCGATTGCATAACATGTTACTGTGAGCCTGAAACCGAGCACATTACCATGTCGGCTACTAATCGGTTATGCGTTGCCTCAGGACATCTGTAGCGCTGCCTCGTCCGCAAAATCATGGTTAGACTTTGGCATCCTTCATCTTTTGCGTAAATTTCGCCTTGGATTTGTTTTAAATTCAGGTGCCAGGAGCGCTGTCAACCCCAACTCCACCATGCACGCTCCAAATCAACTCGTCGATAGGCGCGCGCCTCTGCTCCTTCAAAGCGAGATCTGGCAGTTGGTGGGCGAATACCGGGCCGGGTCCTGAGTTGCTTTTGGGGCTCGAGCCCTACAGGTCAGCTCCGGTCCGTTCCAACTTCGCTCACTTTCGACCCCTCTGTTCACAACTACTGGACGTCCTGATCAGCAACACCAGCACGCACAGCAGAACTTTCGGAAGCAGTTGTTTGCGCTTCAATCACACGTTTGACCACGAACCAGCGTTTCGACTTCGCAATGCGGTGGCTTTGGCTGCTTGCGGGTGTGGTGTCTGAAGCCTCGAGGCTGACATAAACCTTCGATACCTTGGGACCTTGGAAGCATGCCGCCGCTGGACGTAGGCCCTTCGAAGCAACCTTGACTCCGGATCCCTGTAAGGCCAGATTGGTGAAGCTTTGGACCGACTGTGTGGAGGCCGCTGTGCAGGATCGGTTTATTGGCACATAAGCCGAGCGCTGCCACGTCCCTTCGTAGCTGCGCTGCAAACCACGCAGGTGGAAGGCCGTGCTTCCGGTCTTGACCTGCCCTCCGGATCCCTCCGGGAGCTTCCATGAGCACGAACAGTTTTTGCGAGCATGGAATCGTGTGCAAGTTCCCCCGCGCGCCCGGGACATGCCCATGCTGCTGTAAAGCATTCTGGAAAATGCTGTGCCCCTTACCGGTGCGGAGGCATCGAAGCTAAACAAGAAAATCGGCTTCGAAGGGAGCATGATGCGCCCTTGAACCGCCAGCTTTGAGCAGGTTGAATCAAACCGTGATCCGCGAAGCTTCTTCACCCTTGAATAAAGGTGGACTGTTGTCCGCATTTGCTTATTGGTTGTGGAGGCTGCGACGAGGCGACTACAGCTTGTGCAGCCGGAGTTGCCGCGGGTCAAGCTGCGTCGGCCTCAGCAGCCCAACAGGGACGGAAGGGAAGGAATGGAGTCCTTGCATCTGAAGTTGTCGTGCGATAGCCGTCAGCATGCTGAATGCCAAACCTGACTTACCTGGTGATGCCAGGAATTTGCGGCTTCACTGTTCATCTTGGTAGAGTCTCCCAAAACCTTGGGTTGCTCGTTCATACTGTGCTGCAGGGCTTCGACTGCTCCGACTCCTGCCCGCACTGACGAGGCCGTCGCATGCATCGTGAGTCCTAAAAACCCCCATTTACAGATTATCAGCTTCGACGGTGGTGCCAAGTACAGGCTGACCAACGACCAGAGTATTCGACCACGATCTGATCAAGTATTCACTGTGTTTGAATGGATGGATGGATGGATGGGCCTGTTTTATGGTTGGGTGGGTGGTGGGGGTTTGGCGGTTCTTCGATACCCTCCCCCATGTAAATGGGTTGGTGGGCAGGTGGGTTCGGCTTTTGAGAGACAAATTCAGACAGATACCCTTTGGCAGGTTTGCTCTTCGTTCGGATTGCCCCTCTCGAGACCATCCATCCGTGTAGCTGTTAGCACTAGGTCACTAGGTCCGCATAGCATCAAGATCCGGAAGCAGCAACAGTTGTGGGTAAGTGAACCCCGAGCGACCCATTCCTGTGTCTGTGGGCATTCTTGAGACGTCGCCGTGATGCCAAGATCCCAAGCCCAGGCGCAAAGCGGCCACTGTCGCACAGATTCCGCGCTCGCCATGGGAGAGCATGGGCAACGGCGGGGGTGGCATATCATGGGGGGGCGAGGTGGGGTGGTGCCGCACCATTTGCATGCGCGCATGCATGCAAGTATGTGTCTATCTACAGTATCTTTCTACCTGCCTGCCTGTCTCCGTACTTGTAGCAATCTTGTACCTATCTATGTATCTACCTGTCTATCTATCTATCTATCTGTCTATCTATCTGCCTTTCTATCTGTCTGTCTGTCCATCTCTCCATCTAATTGCTTACCATCTTTCTCTCTAACTTAGTTGGATCAAAGCAACCTAAGCAGCGTGCAGACGTTCGACCAAGTAGTTTGACAAAATACCATCGAGCACGTCTGAGTAGTAGATATGCTTAAAAAACTAACTTGCCAATAGTCAAGGGAGCACGGCTAAGCAAGTAGGTATGTAAGCCTGTGCTACAACCAGAGATGGAAGGCCGGACAAACTGAATAGGACGAGACGAACGAACCAATAGACAGACAGAGAAAGAACTAGAGACAGGCAGGCAGGTGGGTAACCATACAGGCTGTCCACACAATACTATACATGTTGAGCCAGTGTGTAAACTGCTTGAAACCGTCTTCTAGGGGACTTTGGCGCCCACACCTGGGCGAGCCAGCCGGCGAAGAAGAGGCGACTGCGCAGAGTGGCCGAATGTTTCATGCAAAAGTCCGAGTCGATGGCTAAGCAGCTGACCTTGGCTTCAAAACAGTTGGATATGCACAGAGACAGAGGAGAGAGCCAGTGAGACCGACAGGAGTCTTCAGAGCTCCGAAATGGTGCCTGGAGCCAAGAATTACTTGGCGCTCGATTTGCCATTTGCTATCCATCATTTTCTCACAGCGATATATCAGCGAGCAGTACCTCAGAGTTCCGGTTAATTTTGTAACGCTACCATGGTTTCAGGGTTAAGGGTGCCCGAAAACGACAAACAGGGGGTTTAGCAACTCTCTCGATCGCTTCTTCTTGCCTCCTCTCTCCAATGCAGGTCGGGCAGCAGTCCGCTTGTCTGCAGCTGCAGCGAGGTGGGAGCCTTACGGACGTCGCAACAGTTTGAGTCTTTCCTGTTGATGCGACGTGCAGCGAGACCGGAGTCTGCAGGTGTGGTCAGGCGCGAGCCCCAGCCTTCGAGTTTCTCTCACATGTTTTGCGGCCTTTCGGGCGTCGAACGTAGGCTCGGGAGATGAAGAGCTTGCTATGAAACGGTAGAGGACTGGAAATCTCTGACTCGGCGATCTGCAGGGCAGACCTCCAACTGTTGCAATCCTCGATGTGGTTGTTCTGGACCATCCAGGCCTGCCCTGCATGGCTGCATGCACTGGCCGCCACTGCATTGGCGAGAGCCCTTGCAGGGTTCAGAACTGTTCTGGTGCACAGCAACCAGTCCATTGGCACGCTTGAGAATCAAGTATACGCCGGCTTTCTTACAGTCTCATCTGTTCATAGGCTTCTCCCGCCCGAGAGGCAGAGGGTGGACCGAGGATTTGGGTGCTTCTTTCTGTGCTGTTCCCAAGTTCGCAACTCTGCCGACATGTCCCAACATGTCTAACCTTCCACTGCGGTCGCTGCGTTTGGCTCAAGCACCAAGATGGTGCGATAGCCACACCCCTTCCTTAAACCTCTTAGGTTTGGGGTGTGTGGAGCATGGGGCCAAGGCTAGACTTCTGTTACTTGCTTTGTGAAGTTAGCGGCCTCACAGCAGAGAGGCCTTCGTGAGTCAACAGGCACTTCCAAGCATCTCAGGGTTACATATGCTCCACGGGTGACATCTACTCACTAAAGTCATTATATATATATATATTATGCACACACACACATGTTACACCCCTCGACTTAGAGCTCAAGCATGAATCCCCCAAGCCCAGCAGCAACCAAGGCCTGGCCTCAACCCTCGGCTTAGCACCGACTCCTTCTGGTAGTGAAACCACCTTACATTTGCACGTCCGCGAAGACCCTCGTCGGGGCCCTAGACCAGAGATTGGCCTTAGCTGACGTCGAAGTGTGTCCCTCGACGGTCATGCCGGGTCGCATTCTGGCCGCACCTCCTGTGTGTACACCATATACACCTGAGGCGATCGTCATGGAGCGGCAGCGGGCGCCCATCCGGCCACCAAGCTTCAATGATGACTCGTTCACGTTCTGAAACCGTTTTTGGACACTTCTTTGACGATGGAGCCTTTGGCTTGCGTGGTCGAGCAATTTTGAGATAAAGCGTCAGAGAACGAGGGCGTAGCATTTGAGGGTTTTGTGCTTGGGATCGGCGAGACCCACAGGTTTCTTCGTTTCGAGAGGAGGATGCTTGACGGAAGCGATCCATATATCGGCACACTGCCTCTCCAATCAACTTGTCTTCAAATTCGTGGTGATGGGTGCGTTGTGAAGTGTTGTTAATGTCTGGTTTGCACTCGACATGCCGGACAGACCTTGTTGAAGTCCCATGTCTTGCATCGGTCATTTTGAGGGAGAGAATGCACTTCAACTACTGCAAAAGAAACGAAATGCGCGAGTGGTTGATGTACGAGTTTGGTCTTTCGCAGATCCTTGGGCATGCAACCTCACCTGTTTCTGAAAGTTTTCGTGATTGTTGTTGACTTTGCTGGTTGCGTAGTATCAACACTCACGCACACGTCTTCACATGCACACACACCTCTACATTTTTACATTAAGTTATGTTATGTGATGTGATATTATGTGATATGATATTATACTATATTATGGTGTCTAAAATCATGCTATATATTTTATTGTAGGGTACATGTTATGTACTATATGTTATGCATTATATATTTTGGAGTATATATTATCGGCGATGTATTGTATGTATATACATACATATATGTATATATACCATATAGGAAACTATATACTGTATGTTAAATATCATATATCATACATATGTTCAGTTAAATGATAATGTATGCTGTTGTATTTCGTTACCTTTTTTTAATACTATATAGCAATCGTAGTATGTTGTATATATATATATATATGCATGTGTTATATTCTCTATAGTATACTATAACATGCCGTATACTATGGTTTATTATACTGTATACTGTATGTTAGTTAGGATATATTACATTTTTTATATCATCTGTTGCATAATATATATCATCCTTTATATGTTATGTATTGTACAAGTTCTGCGTTATGTATTGTAAATTATGTATTATTCGTGGTAAAAATATATCATGTAACTTTGTGTTATATTTTAAGAAATTATGTCAGGTATGAGGTATAATATGGTGTAATATCACATAATGTATTACCATGATTGCACTATGTTCATATCACACTATGTCACTTTGTCATACATACTGTGTCATATTATGCTATATAGTAAATTTGTTAATATATTCTAACATCCCAGCTTATACTTGAATATATTCGGTTGCAATAGTATATTGTCTCATGCATTGTATTGCATGATATGACGTTATCACAAATGTTCTAGTTTGAAAGCACAGTGCTATATTGTGCTTTGTTGTGGTATGCTATGTTATGCTGTGTTGTGCTACATTATGTCATGTTATGTTATTATAAATTATGTTGTGCTTTGTTGTACTGTTATGTTATGATTTGTTGTACTATATTACTATTTGTTGTTTTGTGCTGTATAGTCTTGCATGTCATTATGAGTATGTTACATTTCATTGCATAACAACATGTTGTAGTAAATTATATTATGTTGTACTCTGTTATACTTTGCGATAGTACGCTTCACTCTGCAAAAAAGTTCTACATTTTGCTATAGTGTAAACTACTACATTTATTTTATCATATGTGTGAAAACATTTGCCGACTGACGACAGGGACATACCGCCCCTCAGCCAAATCTTGTCTTTCGCAAGAGCAGGTCGACCTGGGTGAGGTCGCCTCATCCGTCTATGCAGATAAATATGGAAGTACATCTGCAGATATAGAAAAACTCATACACATGGGCAATGCGCAGCTTCATGTGTTCATATGTGTTCTCACCCGCCCATATACTTAGTACCGCGTCCTTGTGCACAACTTGAGACACATGCACAGGTGCTCACGGAGTTTGGCACACTATGCATCGCATGCAGACATGTGAATACGAAGCTGTTGCAACAGCACGTCGCAGCCGGCGGCATCGGCTGGGACTTTGACCCGGTAAATCCCGTAGGTTTTGCTTGGATCGACTAAGAGGCGTGCTGCAAGACCCCATGTGTGCAGCAGGAGCATGACCAGTTGGTACCTATTGATTATGCACATGCATGGACAACTCTTGACGGTTCAGAGAAGCACAGCCGATTCAAGTCCAATTTGGAGCAAATCAGAGCAGCTCAGGGCAGAGGACTCAATGCCATTGCTTATCGCTGGTCGCACTTCCCTCCGACTTGTAGCGCGGCTGGGTCTCTCCAATTTTCAGCTGCTGCAGGCGCTGTTTGAGCATGGAGGGCTTGAGGCCGCATGATGCCGCATGGGTACCACTGAGATCACAACGCCTCGCATCCAGGGCTGAGTATTCCCACAATCTCTGGACCTAGCTGTTTGGGGTTCCGCCCAGCTTGGAATGAGCTCGCTAACTCATGAGAGTTACACATTCACGAAGATGCCAGCACCTGCGCATTTTGAGTCACGATCTTGCCAGCATTCCTCCTGTCGTGCGACGCAGGGCCTCTTGGCTGTTGTATTTCTACTCCACGCAGCCGATGGCGCCATGCTTCCGGGCATTTTCAAGGTGCCCTGGGAGTGAAGGTTGTAGGGCCGGCGTCTCTGCGTGTTGAGCTCGGCACATTTAGCAGCAAATTGACGTGGATGCAGAACTCCGTGCCTGTTTGTGTGTTGATGCATGTGCTTGGTATTAGCAACTTCCTTGTATCATATCTAACTGATACAGTTATTGCAGCTTTGTTACATATACACATACATACATGCATGCATGCAGGCAGGCAGGCATGCAGACATACATACCTACATAAACACACATACACAGACACACATGCATTCATGCATGCATGCATACCTACATACCTACATACATACATGCATACATACATACATGCAAGCATCCGTGCATACATGCGCACATGCATGCATACAGACGTGCATGCATACATACCTACCTACCTACCTGCCTGCCTGCCTACCTACCTACCTACATACATACATACATGCATACATACGTACGTGCATACATACATACGCCAGAACAAAAGTACGTGAGTACATACGTACATATGCTCACACATACGTACATACATACGTACATACATACGTACATGTGGACTCATGCACGCACTTACAATCATATCTACGGACGCACGTGTTTTCCAGACCCATCTCGAAGCGGCTGTAGCACACCTCTGTGAAAACGCATGTCCATAAGCCCTTCTGCCGCGACGGATTGAGCACTGCTTGGCCAGGCGCTGGAGGAAGGTCTGACAGGAGCAACACCGGCTGCCCGGCAAAAAGGTTTGGCTTGCGGCTTCAGGTTCAGGTTTTGCTTTACTTCTTGGTTTGGTCTGCATCCTTCTCTTTCAGGGTTCGCCATGAGCTTCGACGAATATTCCGTCGTGTGTCTTCGTTGTTTGCCTCGTAGTGTGTGTTCGGAAGCTTTGCTTGCCTCCTGGCAATGCCACGATTTCTTACCCCCTGATTTCTGCGGATCGGAAACAGACAGTGTCTGTCACGGGAATGGCGCTTCTTCAAGTGAGAATTGGGAGCCTGCTCGCAGAAAAACGCGGAAACAGCAGGATTCAGGATGAGTCACATGGCAGTAGATGCGCGATGAATACCACAGTTACACAGCTGCTGCTGTGCGCTGTGCCATGAAATTTGCCGATACAAGCTCATGATTGAAAGTTCGCGTGTTTGCCATTGTTCTGATCTGCGGCCATTGAGGTGATAGTCTGTGCTAACGTCTTGACACCACAGGACCCACAATGAAGTTCCCTGCAGAACATGGTCCTTACTTTCATGTCTTGTTGGAGCTCTTGCGCATCGTGTTGCTGTCAGGTGTCTTTGGGCGGCATCGTTTTCATTGAAGCTTTGTGTCACAGCTTCGCTGTCCTCGCATCTTGGATCGGTTAGCTGTGGATTTGTGGTGTGCATGCAGGCTCGACGAAAATCGTAGGCTTGCGAAGAGCATTTCACGAATGTGGCAACGGCAGAGTGTCCCGACTGCAAGCGTCTGAGGTGTGGGGAGTCCTGGCGGACAGGCACTGCAAGTTGACGCTTCTGATGTATGCGCGCCATGGCTCTCGGGGGCTTCTGAGGTTTTGGGAGCTCGACGGGCTAGAGGGCGGGTTGTTGCTAATTATTGGGATAGGATCGTGCTGTTTGGGAACTCGGGCACAAGGCCAGTTTGTTTAGTGTTCAACATGTTGCACAAGCCCGGACCACCGTGTGGCATTGGAGGAGGATGCATGAGCTACTCAGGCATAAGCTTTCAATGGGTGGGATGGCCGCAAGACTGCAGGCTTGAATGCAGAGGGCGTGACAGTGAAAAGAGACAGGATTGAGTTACGTGCATGTCGCTGCCGAGCCAAGGACTTTGGTGGGCGTCCTAGCGACATGCTTTCCAGATCTTTATAGAAGCGGAGTCTGGCAGCGAGGATGTCGTTGTGCGAAACGGGTTTGTTCATTGCGCTTGCAAAAATATGTGGCCTTCTAAAGATCTGTAGCCAAGCTGGATGCTGACAGATTCGTCCCAGCTGCTGCCAGACAAGCCTTTTAATTGTTTTTTCCTGTCCAGCCCCACCAGTCTCGGTACGAACCGAAGCGGTTGAACATGATTGAGATCTACGGCAGTGAGTCTAGTTACTACAACCTTGACGGATTAGGCCACAAGGCAATCCTGGTAAGGAAGATGGCAAATACTTGTGGAAGAGAGGAACAGGATGTCAAAGCATTCGTCGACTCCATGCCACGTCTGATGACAGCTGTGCAGCCAAGAAGAAACCGAGCAGAGCATGTGGGAATCTCGAAGTCTCGAACCAAGTCCTGGGGACTCGTCACGGCCGCGACCTCCTTCGTCACAAGCGTCCGGGTGCTCTGTGCTGTTCGTGCTCTTGCAGGCCGGAGGGCCGGGAGCCCGGGCTCGGGTCACAGTTCTGGCGAGTTGCGATCGGCTCCTTTCCTCTTGCTGCATGGAAGGCATTACAGGAGCCGCAATCGGTCCATTGCGGGGGCCCGAGAAGCGTAAAGAAAGGGTGTACTCGTCCTGCACATCGCTGAACAAGAGCGCATGGCTGGCTGAGAGTGAATGAACCTGGCTGTGTGACAGTGGAGTTAGGAGCCAGTAGTGTCACGTAGCCTTGCCTTCATGAGAGAACCCGAGTACCTGGGGCTTGTGTCATAGTGTGCTGTGTGCGGCAGATCAGCTTGCAATCGTTTCGTGGACTGCAGCAGTTGTGAGCAGCAAGCGGTCGAATGAACTTGACGGCTTCGGTTTCTGACAATGTTACCTTTTCATGGGCTGTTACAGACCCAATGTGGACTCAGATGATTCGCCCCAAGTTCCATCGTGTCAGGCTGTGCTACAAAGCCGCTGTTGTGGGTTTTTCCGTTCGAGGATCTAGGCTTTGTGGGGTTTGGGGTTGCAAGCTGAAAGAGCTTGAGGTGCAAGCCCAGCCATTGCCGTCCCGTTCCCCAAAGTGTGATCCCATCCCAAACCAGCTGGAGTTCAGAGTGGGATACCAAACCTTCGGATACCCAGTTCGTTAAAAACTAAGCATGCTCTTCGGCCTGCAGAGATTGCTCAGGTCACAGGGTCTCATTGGCGCTGTCTGCCCGCCGTTGGACCGAGGCTCTCACCGTGTGTCCAGGAAGCTTCTGACTGGTTCGGAGGACCTTAACAGCGGAGGAAGGTGGCAGTGTCTTTTAGGAAAACTGCGGTATTGCAGCATGCTGCCAGCATGCAGCCAAAGTGGACCTTCCGGCTGCGAACACAGAAGGTGACGGGTCACCGTGATGCCTGAATGGTCCTCCGAGTACGTACGCGTTGCAACAAACAAACAAGCTTGACGATTTTGCTGCTTGTTCCTTCATAAACTGCGACTGCCATGCCCTCTATTCCCCTCATCGCTGCTAAGCTGCGGTTTTGCGCGCATTCCCCAACAGCTGGATACGAAACCAAGCCATGCAAATTGTAATGTCCAATAGCTTCAAACAAAACGAGCCTTGCACGTTGTAACTCCTCACTAGCTTGAAGCAAGACGACATTTCGCTGTCGAAATCCCCGAACAGCTTCGCGCAAAAAGAAGGGATCCAACTTGGAATTCCCAACGACCTCCTTCGAGGCAGAAGAAGCCCTGCAAACGGTAATTCCCCAATAGCTTCAAACAAAGGAAGACCGGAAGACCCTCTTCTCCAATAGTTTGCTGCAGATGAACACGACACAAATGGGATTTCCCGAAGAGCTTGCTGCAAAGGAAGACGCTGCAGGTGGGCCTGCCCCAATAGTTTGCTGCAAATCAAACGGAGCCATCGGCCAAACCTTCTAAAATCAACACGTTTTGGCCAAACCTCGTGAAAAGAAACTCCGCCTCCAACCTTAACGACATCTACACGTGGTGTTTTCGCGCATAATCCTGTGCTCGCGTTTTTGGCCAAGACAAAACAACTAGAGAGTTGGTTAGAACATTCGAGAAATCGATCTTTCAAATTTTGCATTTTTGGGTTGAGACAACAAAGCAAGAGTCGGTTTTCGAAAATGTTTTGCAAATCCGAAAATTCAAACATTCGAAAACTCGAATTCTCAACAGTTTGACGAATCGAATCTTCAAGTCTTAACGTTTTTTGGGTTGATGCAAAACAAACAACAGTCGGTTCGACAATTCAATAAATCGAAAATTCAAAACCTCGAATTTTCAAATGTTCAAGTTTTTCGGGTTGAAACAAACCAACTCTTTCTTTTAGAGTTTTCGCGTTTTTCGCCTGACGCAAACAAAATCGAGTTTTCGACTTTTCGTGTTTTTCGGGTAGTCGAAGACGTGGTCCTTTGGCCATACGTGGAAGTGAGCTCTTGCGAGGCCGGGCCTTCGGCTGGCTCATCGCCTGTGGTCAGAGCGGCTTCATGCTCGGCGTTCCGGGCCGAGCTGAGGGCCTTTGGTGCAAGCAGGACATGCCATGACATTGCTGTCATTGCTGTGAGGTGCTGCTGGCTGGAGCAACGAGCCACCTGAAGGTGCCGGAGTGTGAAGCGAAGCCAGCAAGAGTCTTCGGCATCGAAGCCGAGTTTCAAGGAACGGCCAAGCTCGCCACGGCTGCTTAAACACTTGCTTGCTGGCACGACCATGTCGTTTCGGCCGTTGCTTGAAGGCGATCCACGGCTGGCGGGGCACCTTCCTCCTCTTTGGTTTGCTCACGTGCTCTGACAACCAAAAGAGAGTATGTAGGCAATCCGACCCTGCTAGACGACGACAGAGCGGCCGAAGCTATGGGCCGGCTTCGACAAGATCACCTGCAGAGAGTATAGGGCCAGGGTTTAATCAGACGCGCGGCTTGTCCTCTGTATCCACGCAAGGCTTTTGTTGACGTGGATTCTGTCGATGGCCAGACTGGAGGTGGCGCCAGCGCCCCAGACAACTGCCAATCGCAGCGTGCTATCGAACACAGCGGGAAGATGCAGCAAGTACAGTAGTGGGCTGCTTGCATGCCCTGACTGCTCTTGGCGGCTCTTTTTTCGGAGGATGGCTTGACGGCCAATCATGTCCCAGCCATGAGACGGGGTACTTCCAGCAGACATTCGCAGCATTTCTTCATCCAGATGGATGGAAGAGAAGTGTTCACTCGAATCGGACTTTTAGCCGAAGTGGAAGCTTCTTTTGGGAAGAGCCGCACCTTGCTGTGAGGCGCGGCCTCTTCCAAGAGTCTCGGACCTGGGCCCAGCTCAGTGCAGCCAAGAAGCAGGTGCTCGGTCTCGGTCCTTTTTCGGGGGGAACTTTGAGTGCTCGGCTCTTGAGTTCGTGAAGTTTCACACTTTACTGGCTTCATTACTTTTCTGCGCAACCAGCCGCTTCCAGCACAACGCACACTTCCTCGCATGCAAAGTGTTGAGCCCAACATCCGACCGTGACGGATCTGTGCTGGCAAGGGCACTCCTTCCGGACTGCCTCTGCACGACATCTGGAAGGACGGATCGGGAAACACCCCAACTACTAACTACTGCATTACTCGGTTTGGAAACAAAACCAGTATCATGATAGCAAGCAGAATTGTGACTCTGTGGCGTGCATGGGTTTGGGTGAGTGGGCTTGTCAAGCAGGCGGGGATTGAGTGCATGTATATTCGCAGGTACTACAGGGGAGCAATGCATAGGCAGGCACAGACACTGAAATCACGACTTCGCCTTCTCGCGGGCTTGCCACAGGACTTCCTGTTCATGCTGCGCCGATCCTCCTTTTGGGTTCTGTGCCTTGGACTTGATGAGCCGCTTGCACACTTCTTGATCGCTTCTGCTGTACAATCAAAACCTCAGGTGATTAGTGGGACTGGGACAGCGGATTGGTTAAGTTAATTCGCTATCAAGCAAAGCATGTAGAAACGGATCCTGCCGTCAGCATCAGGTGCGGCATTGCTTTCTGTAGGCATCGGGTACTCCAGCTTGCACCCTTACTAGGCAAGTCATCAAGATCAGTGGAAGATCGAGGTCGGTAGCATGCACGCCCTCTGACTTTAAATGCTTGCCATTCTGCTGTGAGCATCTCTTGGGACATGACCCTGCGCCACATTTGCAAGCAGCTTGGAATCTTCACCTCCTGTCACCGCCGTCCAGGATCCTGCAGGGCGCTTTCGCCAGCACGACGGTCAAGGTTCGCCTCGCGTCTTCCCCTCTTTATTTGCACATCGTGCTTCCAGTCCAAGGTCTCAAGATACAAGCACTTCTCACCAAATGCCTGTCAACTTACTGTATCTGCATGTATTTCCAGCAATTCTGAGTTGTACAGTGGGAAGGTCGTTGTCAAGATGCCAGGCCATGCAGTACCAGATCATGTGGTACCAGCTGCTTGATGAGAGAAACGATGCACGTTTGCTTTACTTTGTTTCTTTGTTTTTCGGAAGCCCTGCTCTCGGATGATCGAGACCCTGTTGCGAGCGCTCATTCAAGCATGCTCAGGCTTCTAAAGCCTGAAGCTTGCCAGCCTAGGTATCTGGGCTTTAGCGACCTTGTGGCGTCCAGTATAGCATGTGCTGCTACTTGGTCAGTTGACAGTTTCAGGATGTTTCCGGTGTTGCAGCAGAGCATGTCTTGAGACTTGCGGACCATGCAGCAACTACTGCAAGTGCGGTACCACTTCAGAAACCCAAACTAATGCATGAAGATTGCTGCTAGTATCTGGCTAGGCGGTCTTGCACAGCTTTGAGGCTCCCTTCGGCAGCATTTTCGGGTCAATCGCGGCCGGCTTTATCTCCGACTGGATGGCCAAGCACTACCCAAGGCCTCTTCAAGCTGTGGTCGGCAGTCGGGTTGCGAGTCGTGTCGCAGCTTGAAGTCCTCTATGAGCTTGCAGCTAGTGTCCGTGTTCGAGCATCGACATCACGAAACTTGGGATCATAGCGACGTGAGCTGCTAGGGTCAGCTTCAAGCGAAGGCGCAGACATGGTTTCCGGTTTGGGCTTCTGCTTGCAGAAGCCGGTGTATGTCCGGTGTAGAGTCTCGGTATTCTGCGGTTGGATGTCGGACGGAGCTTTCAGGCTCGCGAACGTGCTTTGAAGCAGAAGCCAGTGCGAGGCACGGCCGCATCACATATGGCCAGCTGATGGACTTTGTGAAAACGGTCGTCCTCCTCTACACGTTTGCTGCTTGATGGCATGACCGGCAGCTCCAGCTTGAGACTGTGTGTGCTGGCCTTATTGCAGTGAAGAAAGTTCCCGTCCCTCCACGATTGCCGCCAGCCCCTATGTCATATGCAAGAGAGTCAAGAGAGCATCCAAGGTTCTCAGCGACACTCCTAGGCCACGGCCTTGCCATGCGCTGTACCGCAGGATCACAAGTTGGGGTCCTTCACGGGGGAGTCAGACTCCCTCTCCGGAGAAGGAGGGAAGCGAGAGAGAGTCACGGTCCTCCCGAAAGCCCCATAAACAATGGGCCCTTATGCCCAGTGGAAGAAGAGAGAGTTCTGAGGATAATAGCTTGTTGTGCGGAAATGGTGATACCTGGAAAGCTGCAGCGCCTACCAGGGTTTCTTTTGGCGGGGGGCAGACTGTCTTGCGGATACGCGAGCTTGCTCGCAGACTGAAGCAAAACACTGCTCGGGCGGTGTTGCGCCGCGGCGAGAGGAGCACGCTCCAAACCCGTTAAGCCAAAGAGAAGCAAGCCTGACTCAGCTATGTAATCGGATGAGACCTACAGGTGGCAACTTCAGTTAAGTCAGTTCTTTGAGCCAGCAACTCCACCAAGGGCTCAAAGAGCATTTTGCTCGCTTGCTCGCTCTCTGCTTCTCTGTGTTGTGCGTACATGCATCGCTGTCGATGGCTGCCATCGTTTTAAACTGGGGTTTTGGGATTTGTAGGGATTGATCAGGATCCTTAAGGTCGAAGTGACAACAAACGCATGGGTTGCCTTACACGCAGAAGAGCATCCAAAACCTCAAGGCCCCTTTTTCTCGTCCGTGAGATTTCGGCACCGAGCCCGTTTTCTGTACGTTCGTGCGAGCGGAAGAGAGAGTCAGAGTGCTTGGTGCCGCGGAGGCCGGATACTCCAAACATCTTCGTCACGAGGAGGGGGCATTGCTGCGGGATTGACATCGGCCTCGCAAGACTGAGCAGCTCCGCAGCGGCTCCGCAGGAGCGTTTTGAGTTTCTTTTTCGGCTTCTTCTCGATCATGGCCTACTCAGCAGTCGCGGCCTCGTCTGCTTTCTCAACTCTCAGCTCGATCTGGCTTTGTGTTTGCTTGCAAGGTTGTCAAGCCACTATTCGCCGAAATTGTCCCGGCTCAGATGGTCGCGCAGGTGCGTTCCACTTTCTGAATCCGTTGGTTTTCGGCTGCGTGTGATTTCCTGGGTTTCTCAAGCATTTTCTGAGTTCGATGTTTGCGAAAGCAGCAGACTCATGGTTAGACCCAACAGATCCGTACAAATTCGATCTTGCACTCCAACGGCATGAGCAGTCTGGATGCAGCGTACAGTGGAAAGCAGTGGAATGTTTCTCGTTTTCATTCGGAATCCGCAGGTCATCGCTTTGGCCGCGGCGATCGACGGCGGCTTCGCATCGATAGCACCTGACCTGCAGTGCTTTGAGTTCATGATGTCGCATGGGCTCTCACTCACGGCAACCACAAGGATAGAGGCGCTTAGGACAATTATCAACGTCAAGTTGATTGGTACTTCCCGCAACCTTTGCCACCCACGGCTGTTTCAAGTGCAAGGGGCTGGGTCAGGGCAGGACAGAGCAAGCACAGTCCGCAGCAGACTTGAATCCATGTAAGATTGTATTAGGGAGGTCCGACGACTAGCTGGCCATGGCTAGGTCCTTCTTGCGAGCGATTGTGTCATGTGCTGCAGGCAAGCACCCCTGTCGTGGGATTTATCACGCAGCACTTTTTTCACTACAAAAGGCGGCGGGCCAGATTGACTTCAGTGCTTGGGGCAAACTTCTTGAGACCCACCGGTGACCATGTGTTGAATGCGATCGGCAGGCCCTCCATGCCTCAAGTCTGTGCATCGTTCCAGATAGCCAACACACGAAGTGGCAAGCCCCAAACTGAAGCCCGCCACTAGCAGATTACAATGCCCTGCCAGCAATACGCTGCCCATCAAAGACATGCCGGCAGACTTGCGGCGAGGCAATGCCCAGGCAACTTCAGCTGCAGTGTGCTTGGTGTGTTTTCCGAGCCTTCGGACTCATGCTTCCGTCCCTGGTTCTAAAGCTGTGTCATCCACGGAGTCGTTCGGGCCTCACTCCTTGAGGCTTGGGCAGTCAGCACAAACCGCAGTGACTCCAAGCTTTGGGCGGGCATTGCTGTCAGCAAGTGGCGCAAATGGGAAGCTTTGTCAAGTGTGACAGATCCAGGAATCGGTCGGAGTGGGGCAAAAGAAAAGTGGAAGAAAAGCTGGCAAGGTGTAAGGCTGGAAGAACCATGCCCGGCGCAATGCACTGACTGACTGATTGCATGTTTGAGACTCATCCACATCTGAACAGGCCGGGTCTTAATGAAGTCCAAACCTTTTCTAGGTCTACACACTCCGATGGAGGATTTCGGGACCAAGTCGTCAAATGATTCCCCACATTTGTCGCGAATGGAGTCCTCCTTGGGTTTCTGCACACTCTGCAAAGATTATCCCGCCATCGGCTTTTTGCCGTTGAATAGGATCAATGCAGGGCTTCATTCAAAAGACCTGAACCATCTCCGCTGAGGCGGTTAGAACTGCCACGAACATGTAGCGACTCCACTGCTTCAGTGCTACATTGTTATGCACCCGGAGACATCCCTGAGTCATCGGGCTGCAGCTGCCAAACAATGGTTTGCATCCACTTCAGCAGACGATGAACAATTGCTGAGAAATTCCACTGCCAGGAGTTGGAACATGAAATGGTCGCAGGACTTGTCCCATTGAAAGGGACTCTGGAGTTCTACGTCGGTGAGAAATGTTCCTCCGCTTGCCGTGTGCCAGCTGGTACGTTCTGCACTGCCCCTGTTTGTCGAGATCTCCTACAGCCCTGAAGCTCCGCTCATCTCCGAAAAACCGAGAAGAGCTTTACACTGAAATCAGAACATTTTGCTCCCGACTTCAGAGGCACTCGGCCAGTCGATCGCCTGGGTCACGCTGACGGGCTCAGTCGTGGCACTTGTCATCTTTAGCCTCCCGGCGAGGAAGTCTCATAATTTTGACTGAGTTGTGGCTTGGCTTCCCAAGTTGAAAGTAGCCTTGGAAGGGCAGCTGTTGTCTCCAGATTCCTAGAGTTCCTTGATAACAGTGCTGCAGGTTTTTTGCACCTCACCTATCCGAAGGCTCGGGCGCAGATCTGTGAGTGCAAAGAGTGTGGCCAGCTGGTAGGCTGTCAGAACCTTGCCGGTTTGAGGAAAGTGGGTCTGGTTCTGGGATAGAGTGACACTAACAATCCTTAATGATATTAGCAGTCACAACTATCATATCATGAACCACGACTCTCATTCCTTTTTGCAAAAACTGCTCAGCTCCTGCTGCGACTGCTGCTGCCTCTACTTTGCGGCGACCAGGACCAGGATCACCACACTGAACATGACCACGACTAAAACCACCACCACCACCGCCACCACCACCACCACCACCACCACCAAAACGACCACTACCCCTACCACGACCCCTCCCCCTGCCGCTGCCACTACCACTGCCACTGTAGCACAATCACTACCACTACTGCTACTATACGACGACAACAACTACTACAACTACAACAGCATACTAGTACTAGTACTCGTACTACTACTGCTACTGCTACTGCTATTGCCTACTACTGCTACGACGACTAAACACCACGACCGCCCCTGTTCGTTCTTGCAAACAAAGCTCCAACGAAATTTGGCGTCAGCTGCACCCCAGCTGGGGTCCAGTTTCTGTCGGAGTCGTAGCAGGGGAGTCAGTAGTTTAGCAAAACGGAGGAGGATGAGAGTCAGCAGCAGGAACGCCAGCACAGGCCGAAAACTACTAGGTGCGGGTATTGGATGCGACGACGCGACAGCGACGACCGCGACCACCTTGACTGAGGCCGACTTGCTTTCATCGGTTGGGTATTTCCAAAATCAGCGTCTTCTTGCTCGGACGGATCGAAGACACCCTCTTCTAGAGTTTAATTTTTCCCAGCATCGCAGGCTTTAAACTTGCAATGTAATCCAGCACTGCATTGACATTGTCAGGACCTTCGCGTCTCTAGACGGGTCGAAGCAGACTCTTTGCCGGCTGTGGAGGCCTCTGGTGTTTCTGGAGCTTTGCAAGGATTGATCCTGGGCCCTAGAATCGATTGCTTCTGTTCTTGGTGGATTGAGTGAGTGCTTGTTTTTGTTTCCAGTAAGGCTTGGCTTAGCCGGTGCCAGCCTTGATCTGACTACAGTTTGCGATTTCTGCCAGGACGGAGATTCATCCTCCGATGCAGTGGATGAAGAGGTCGGCAGTTGCCCAGCTGTGTTGAACGCTTCGCCACGAAGGGAGTTTCTTCCATCGGCTTGCATGAGCTGTGCCTCGTGCACAGCCCACAACCCTCCAACCCCAGAAGCTGTAGATTGCCGACTTCGCAGGGAGGCCTTGCGAGCCAGCCGGCGCAGCCAGGGAAGATGGTGAAGAAGGCCGGATCGTAGAGCTTCATCACATTGCTTGCATCATTCAGCACAGCACGTGTCCCCTCGGCGTCAAATCCAGTCTTGCAGGACTGATTTGCAAAGGCAAAGCCTCGCAGAGCCGTTGCTGAGGTCTCCTTCGACCTCGGAGCGCAAAGACGGAGTTCGTGTGCCCTTGACCGCGGGGCACAGATGTTCAGTGGGGCTTGACCTTCAGAGTTCGGAGCTGTATGACAACCCTCAAGAATCCTACGTTTGATACTTGGACAGTTACCACAAGTGCCCAGCATCGTCCTTCTCAGATTATTATCTGTTCAGTCCTTCTCAGATTATTATCTGTTCATGGCAGCCATCATCGGGTCTTCCCGAACTGCTGCTTCCTCCTAGCAGAGGCATCGAATTTAGCCAGGTGCAACCGGAGAGGTAGCACCTGTCCCAGGTGCCGGCTGACATGTCGCGTTCTGCAGCTACTGATCCTGGTGCTCAGCGCTTCTCCGCCCTTGGTCATTCGAGGGCACGATCGAACCACGAGATCGCTTTCTGAGATGACTACACAGGGCATTGTGCCTAGCGTGTTCTCAAGAAAAGCGAAGGACGTTGTGCCTGCCTGATGCATGGAATCTGACGACCACTCCCGGTTGAGGTGCATTCGGGCTTAGGGGCCCACGGGGCTACGGATTGTTATCCACACCCGTTGCAATGAAGTATATGCCGTTACCACGGGTGAGATCCTATGACAAAGGGATCATTTCTAGACTCCGCATCTCGTCGCCTTCCGTTTTGAGACGTTGTTGTCGAATGACGTACAAGGCTGATAGTATGCGGCCTGTCAGATTCCATCGCTTTAAGTTTGAAGCTGACAGGCATCGTCGCAGCTCAGCATGAAAAAGTGGCGCGACGTCCGCCTTGCCGAAGCTGATGTTCCAGCACGCCTGAAACACTGCGTCGGTTCGACAAGACATGAAAGTCCGAACGAAACACGCCCTTTTGCCTGTGTGTGGGAGTGCACATATACTTTTTGGCTTAATTTGCCGCAATTGCAAGTGAAAAGCTGTCTGCTTCAGGCTGATTGTCTTGATCCATTCGAGATTAAGCAATAACGGGCTGCAATCTGGACGTGGTGCAGGTGCCCGTCACTCTCGCCCTGATAGCAGACCAGACTCTTTGATTTTCGGTTGTTTGCGTGCCCTTCCGGGTGTGTGTGTTTGTGTGTGTGTGTGTGTGGCATAACTACTTGGTACCAAAGTCATTGCATCATCGAATATCCTCACCATCCTCAGCATCACCATCCTCACCATCATCACCATCATCACCATCATCATCATCATCCTCAGCATCAGCATCATGATCATCATCATCATCAGCATCAGCATCGTCATCCTGATCATCAATATCATCGGTTCTCATTTCAACAGGCGTCTCTGTCTTCGTATGCATGTCCAGAATGTGCGCATGCATACAGAAGTACCTACCTACCTACCCACCTGCCTACCTTCCTTCCTTCCCTTCCTGTGGCAGTCTTCCCAAGGGCGAGGAGCCGTGGCCGCAGCCCGGCTCTACCCTCGAGCGGCGTTTGGCTGGCTTTGACGCTTGGCGAAGCTATGCGAAGCGCTGGAATAAGAAAGCCAGGGTGTCTTCTTCTGTTTTGAGGGCTTCCCCACTCCAGGCCCAGGCCTGACCGATCCCGAGGCGCCTCCGCAACGCGCGGCCTTTGAAGCTCCCGCTGGGGAAAAGTCGCGAAAGCTTCACAGCACCGGGCCCTTGATGTTAGCATAGGTTTCTGTCCTAGGTTGGGTTTATCTCGTTGTGGAATTACACAAATGCCATCAGGTTGAACAGCCGGCAGCGAGGGGTTGTCAGGCATGTCAGGCTTGGCTGTTAGATGCGTCTGCGACAAGTTTGGGGCTCGGCCTCGGAAATCCTCGTTGCACACCGCATCGTTTGAGGATCCAAGCCTTGAAGTCAGCACCTCCAAAGGGTCTGCTGGCGCAGCCAAGCCCTCAGCCCCAACCGTCAACAAGCCAACAAACCTTTCAACAATCCCAGAGCCGTAAAGGCCACCAGTCTAAGGGCCGGAAATTTTTGATCGGAGAAAGAGGAGCCTCATAGCAAACTGTTGCACTCAGCTTGCTGTGCAAGTTTCACAGCATGGTGGTGAGCTGCCGCCGCACGGGTGAGAATGTGCAATGTATATAAACAAGGAGCGCATCAGGCAGGGCCAGACGTGATCAAGCGTACGCAGGAGCCGTTGTCTTCCGACTGTTGTAGCGTCTGTTACCCTCCCAGTCGTGGCTGGTTTCTCAACTTGGCACGTGTGCATTCCGCAGATTGTTAAATGCAGGTGTCACAGCCATCGGGGAGCACTCGCGCCTGATCACTTCCCACGTCTACTGACCCTCCGCTCCCCGTATCTTAAATTTTTCGGCTCGCGGACTATCCCCCTACTCAGCCCTAAGACCGAAACCATGTGAGAATTAGTTTGGGCTGAGGCTTGGGGCTTAGGGTTCTGGTTCCAGAACGCCACCAATATTGAGCAGTCTACGGCGGGTATTCTTCGCCGACGGGAGGGGGGTTTCAATGGCGCTCCACTCACCAGAAAGTGGATGGAAGGCATACTGGCATACTGTAGTCGATTGATCGAGCCAACCTGGGACCTGCAGTTACCCGCCTTGCATCTTCTGAAGTCCCGAAGCTCCAAAATTGTGTCCTGGCCCTTGTTGAGCTCAGACTCTGGCAGGTGCGGAAGCTTCACATCAGGAGAGCGGTCGCAGAGTAGCGAAGTCCTTCGGGGCTCTGTTAGACTTGAGATAGCGCTGAGGTGTTCCGGGTTTGGAGAGCACGTTGCGCGAGGCAAACAAGTAGCTCGAAAGACAAGCGAGTGAGATCTAATTGCGGGGCGGGAGCTACGTGTGCTGAAAGTTAAGTTTAGAGCTGAGCATGTCGTTTAAAAAGGCCTTGGATTATGGCGAATCATATCAAGTATAGTCTATGCATGCAGACGGCTTCGCGGAGGGAGCATAGTCAGAGACTGCGAGGCAGAAGAACTGCATCGGCGGATGATTTTGCATCCTCTCGAAACAGCTCGGATGCTCTGACAGTCTTCACCTCCTAGTTGTTTACTTGGCATGGAAAGGGTAGCTGGTGAGCTCCAGAACGTTCAAGATATCCACAGCAACTCTGTTTCAAGAGGAGTCCTGGCATTGGTGGGCAGCGCTCTGATCTTTGCGGCCATCTTTTTGCCTTGGTGGGATGTGGGCAATGCAAAGGCCGACACGGGCTGCAAAATTGCCAACAGGATTCAGGGACTCAAGCTCGGGACTCGCGGGCTCAAAGGCTTTTTTGTTGGCTTTGTCAGTTTGCCCCTCGAAGGGTTTTGATGTAAAGCATGTGGGCATTGATCGCGCGGCATGTAGCAGCACATGCAAATGGCAGCTGAAATGGCATGTAACTGCATGGTGAAGCTATGTTTGTGTGGAGTTATTGGTCTTATGGCCTTTTCGATTTAGTGCTTGCTTATGCTAGTTTTTCTGGTAGCAATAGTAGGTTAGAGATCGGTTCAGCCAAACGAGTCTCCGGCCCAGGCAAGGTAGGACGGAAAACAGGCTGGGCTGTGAGGAGAAGTGGTGCCAAGATTGTGCGTCTGACAGACAGAGTGGCAGAGCTGACAGCGGGATCTCAGCTCGGCGGCACCACCACGGTCTTTTGCCTCCCGGAACGCTTCGGCTCCAGCGCTGAGCATCGCGACGACTTCCCAGGCTCATACGACATGAAACCGGCCTCAAGTTAATGAATCTTCTTTGGCCCCGTCATTTCGTAACATTCCCTCGATGCCTTCTCCACCCGGTATGCGAAGGATTTGCTTGAAGTCTCGTGAGCCTTGTTGAGTTCTACACCAGAGCCCAAGCAAGGGTTCTTGTATTAGGCTTTCCCAGCCCTGGCCTTTGAGCTTGGTCGCAGACTTGCAAGCTAGGAGCTCCTGAACCTCGACAACGCACCACCGGCACCTTCCTCGGCAAGTCAGGTGCTTTTATGGAGGCTCTTAGCTTGGAGACCCCCAGCATTGCATTTTGCGGCTTCATGGTAGCACTGTAGTCGCCAGCGTGGCGGCTTGCATCCGGCAGACTGAGCTCCAATCAACTGGACCGACGTGGGATAGCAGTTGCTGGATGTCAGGTGGCAGATCAAATAAATCAACCTGAAATTTGTTCTGGACTCCTATCTGTGGTGCTCGAGGTTGTGGCGACTCTTTGGGATTTCTTTTTCTACAACCCTCCGCCGCTTCCTCGGAGTTCTCAGCGCATCACAAGAAAGATCTCGTCATCAGCATGTGGCAATCGGTAAGCATGCAAGTGGGCCTTCAAGTCTTCTTTTGCGTAGGGTCTGTGACCCACGGAGACTTCTTCGTCGCTGGCGGCTAATAACCGGCTTAGCCGAGGTCCTGGGTGACGAAGCCGCGCGGCCGTGAGCCCTCGACCTGGCAGGCAGTCCCAGCTGGGACTTCGGAGTCGTACTGAAGGGCAGCCCCGTGAAGTAGCTTCAAGGCAGTTTAAGGTCTTCTGCAAGATGCCAAACGAGCCACCGCCGGGAGAGTTGGGGAAGGAAGAGACCCTTGTTGTGCAAGATTGGCTGGGCTGAGTGATTCTGCTGGACTGATGCATCGTGGGATGTTCACAACAAGATGGCGGATGATGCATGTCATTCCCTGTCTCCTTTTACAGTACCACTTGCCTTCGCAACGTGGTTTGGAGAATCTGGAAGGCATATTGCGAACGAGACGCCGCTGCGCAGCTTGAGGCGAGTGTGCCGAAGGAAGTGCACAGCGATCTCTCTGTTGGACCAAGACACTAGGTCACTAGGTGCGTGCTTGTTTATGAGTGTGTGTGCGAATGTCTTCGTTCGTGCTGCCCGTCCATGGCAACGGGTCTGCAACTGTCTGCACCCACACTTCAGCATGCGCCAGGGATCCAGCTGCCTTAGAAATGGAGGCACTGCCGCCCAACACCACGACGACGTCGTCCAACGAAACTCTGGTTGGCGACGGAGCCTGCGCTGCGTTTGATGTGTCCTTGCGTCGACGAGTTTCCGGAGCTTCAGCAAGCTACGCAGTCATGCGCGCCGTTGGCCAGCGAAAAGACATCACCTCAAAAAGCGGAGTCCTTGGCAGTCAGACCTCCTGTGCAAACATGTTTGCTTCCCGAGGCGGCAGCTCAACTTCTGGTGAGGCTAGTCTGAGGGGGTCGTGCTTTTTTGGCATGCGTTGTGGTTAAAGGTTCGCTATTACTGCAGCTGATAGTCTATACTGGCTTACGGCTGCACTGCAGCCAGTGCTTAATCTAACCTTCCCCTTGCGTGCGGCCTGATCACCCTGCACAGTTGGGCTTCTGTATTCAACCGGTATGACTCCGGCAGACATCGAACCGAAGCTGCATGAGTAGTTTCAAAGGATGCAT